TTAGCAAGTACCTAGGCTGTTAGTATGGTAAGTTACAACATCAATTTATATGATCGTCATCATGATCATCATTATCCTTGTCCTTAATCCGCATCCGTGCTGCCCTTCAGTACGTTTACTATGCAATAAAAATCTGTAGGTTTTACTCAACCTAGAGGCATACGAGCATTTAAATCTTTTCACAGGTTTAGCATACAGCGGGTGCTGTCGTGAGACAGGAGGCAAAGCGTGGACCGGGTGGGGCATCTGCTCAACCCAGGCCGAACAAGCACACGAATACAGGGTGAAAAACGCTGACAAGAAAGCGAAGCAAAGTAGAAAATAAAAACGACGCGAATTCCCCTTTTATTTTATGAAATCAAAAAGGCAAAAAAATAAAGCAAGTTAAAAAAAACAGAAGGCAGGAGGAGGAGAGAAAGGGGTATTTGAACAAGGGGAAGAACGTAGAGAAGGATCTTAACGAGGAAGACATCCAAAAGTTAAAGGAGGTTAAAATGGAACCCTGAATCGTGAGAACATCACGAATGGAGGGCCGAGAACGGCCTAGGGGAGGATACCCAAGACCCGGCGGCGCAGGAAGTCAGTCGCCAAAGGCGAGATGACCACATAGGCAGTCAAGAGGCAGAACTGACAAGCGTTGCTCAACCAGACTGGGCGAAGATCTCCCAGCTCCAGCGTGTCGATCAAGAGGTTCAGCGAACCCGTCATAAGGTTCGAGACGAGGAAGTAGAGCATTGAGTTGCCAGAGACTATGGTTATCAGCGGCATTAAATCTGGGAAGGCAGAAGCAAGTAGTGAGGTGTGGAATGGAGGCCGTAATTTAAACAGGATACCAGCTTTAGAATACTAAAAATGGGAAAGCGTGCGGGCAGTTTACTTCAAGAGTTACGAGCTTCGCTTATCGAAGCGTCAAGCACTCGAGGAACATTAAGGATCACACAACGAGGAATAATACGAACGCAATAGCGACTTAATGCAGCAGGCTGAAACGTAAGCTCCACGAAAGAGGATCTGAGGCGGATCGAGCAATATGGGCATCTACTGATTAAGTACAATAGCACCCACGATTCGGTCTGAATGCAATACACCTTTATAAGTTTTTTTTATGAAGTTGATTGTGATCAAGGGTCTTATTATGTGTTATACGAGTATTCTACCGGAACTCGAAGCGTGCCATCGTGTAGTATAGAACGTCGGCAAAAGTATTTGCCGAGTACTAAATGTTTCCGTGTGGGGAGTGCAGTGTGCGCAAGAAAAGTTAACGGACACGAAATTGCTGCAGAAATAATAAACCGGTCGCATGACAACCAAGCGAGTTAAAACAGAAACTGTAACTACGTGATATAGTGCATTGAATTGCCCGAGACTATGGTCACCAGCGGCATTACATCTGGGAAGGCAGAAGCAAGAAGTGAGGCGTGGGAGTTGAGCCGTAGTTTCAACGGGATACCAGCTAATGGATACTAAAGGGGGGAAAGCGTTCAGATGGTTTTCTTCATTAGCTAGTACCTTCGCTTATCGACTTGCTTAATGATTATGTGGTCGCGTTGTTATGCGCAACT